AACTATACCTTTAGTTATAATTGTATTTTCTAATAAAAGGGGTGCCTCCCAACATAGACGCTTATAATTTATTTGACATTTTTTTTATACTTCATTATACGTCGTTATATTTGCTATATATTTCTACCTGTTAATAACTTAAAATTCAAAAACAATGCAAGCATCTATCGAGAAGCGTAAAAATGAAAATGAAATTCCTAACCTTATCAACACATTCCAAGAGAAACCAGTCAAAAAGTTGTCACGTCATGCTCGCTATAATAAAAAACAAAAGCTTGAGAAAGAACAAAATTCGACCTTGTTGACGGATTATAATGTGTTAAGACCGATTTTACCGTTGATAACTAGCGATATTATTTTTGATCCAAATCGGGTATATATCATTTTTGCCTTAGATTCCGGTTTTACTCTCTCATGCCTGGGTTATTTTTGTGTTGATCGATCAATCGTCCAAGTTACTTGCTACGAGTATACTTAAGCTATGCAAAAAATTGTTGCTCTGCAACTAGGGCCTCTGGCTTCTGTATGTTATGTGTTCGAAAGGGCATAATCATCATTTTGATGGCTCAGTACTTTGGCTTGGGTGGTTTGTTCAGTTCGCAAAAAATATACAACCTAGTGCGGATTTATATAATCATTCATATTGATAATTGCATCAGATATCTAATTTTATTTTCCATTATGTTAGCACCGGACCCAATATGCGACTCGGGGATTGTATACGCGTGATAAAATTCATTATATTGAAAATGAATGGAAGGGTGTCCCCCTTTGTCCGTCGGATCGTATATCATTGGGTGGTGTCAAAATTTGCAAAGAAATTTTATCCAAAGATCTTTTAGTCAACATGCTAATTCGAGAGGCAAGGTCAGCTAATAATATTGAGTTGTCCGATGTTCCGCCTAATTTTCTTCTGTTAGTAGATAAAGAAATAATTAAAATGGGGGGCATGATGATGCCAATTCCTATCCTGATAATGCAAAAAATAAACGTTTATGGGTCGCTCTTGGTTGCTGGTTGGGGATGGAAAAACCGGTTATAAGAAGAGATGTGTGTCGTCACCTTCGGTCTAAATGGATAGATCTTAAATATGCTGTTGATTTTCAAAACAATGAATCACAGGACATTTTAAGAACCACCTTATATATTTCTCGAAAAGAGAAAGCTCATTTAATAATATCTGCCCGGGGTAATCTCTGTTCGTTTAAAAAATTAGTAAAACTTCGCCATTTAACCGTTTCGGAGTGTGTTACGGATGTAGAAGGTAGAACCTTAGTACACTTGGCATTACTAAATAATCCAAGGGCGGTTATACAAGCAACAGATGCCGTAAACCATTATTATTTTCATACCCTAAATAACCCTTCCCATCGTAGTGATGAATTCTGGAAAAATTTCATAGAACATTTTGGTGCATACACACGAAATAATCTCCTCCTATTTACTAGTTTAAATACCGCAAGCTCTCATAATACCGCACATCAAGAATGCGTTAACACTTTACTTCGCAATCTTGGCCCATTATCAGCCTCTGTCAATGAATTTGTACGAAAATTCTATGGAAATTTATATGAAAAACTAGAGAAGTTGGCGTGGGGTCCCTTTGCACCTCGACCTTTTAGAATCTTCCTGATGATCGCTATTAATTACAATACAACTAGCGATTACCATTGGGACGAACACGACGAACCAAATAGTTTATGCTGTTTGGTCGCTCTCAGAGAATTTGAGGGAGGAGAATTATGTTTCCCTCAAACTCAGATCATTGTACCGCTTCGGCCTGGACAAGTTGTGGCGTTTTCCTCACGTCTTCTACTGCACGGTAATTTTCTACTTATAAAAGGTATTCGTCATAGTATTGTATACTTTGTACATGATACCTTTTTTCATAATCTACGAAAATTCGATGATATATACGATAATCTGAAGGATGGGATTGAGAGAAATGCTGATGAGCATGATGTTCTTTTCATTAAACATCAAAATCTCAATAATGCTCAAGGATTGAATTCCAGAACTACGTTTTTTAAGCTGAAAAAAAAGCAAATAACAATTCCTCCTTCATCAACGGATTGTAGAAGGTGTCATATTTCTTTGGTACGTGCTAGGTATGGGTTGAGGGCAGAAGATCTACTTCCAGATTTATAAGTAATTGGTAGAAATGTAATATATTTTTATTGTATTACGTATAAATATATAATGTATATTTAAAAATTAAATAAATAAATTCTTATCTTCTCCAAACGTGTGGTTTTTACATAATTCTGCTAATATGAGTTTACAATTCTCACTACAACCCAATATGCATCTCTTCCATTCTCATTTATATATCACTCACAAAATATGACAAATATATACAACTCATCTAATAACCCAATTCGTTCTAAAAATGAATCTGGTTTTAATCATATATATTGTACCAAATCTGATAGGTCAAAATACCTTTAAATATACTTAAATCTCATATAATTATTAAATATGTTGAGAGCAGAACACGATATAAATGAAAGGATTGCAAGAACTGGTGGACATAACATTCTTAATAGAGTTATCGATGCTGAGAGGCCTTATGATTTCATTAGTATGATCTTTGAAGGAGAAATGCCTATTCAGTGGGGTTGTCGTGTTAGAATTACTCTTCAAGAGTTAATAGGTTCGGGAGGTCCACGTTCTACATTTCATCAGTATTGCCTTCATGCTTCACATGTTCAAGGTGCGAATTTTGATAAATATAATTACAGCAGAGGTAAACTATATGAAGATGGTACTGCAATATGTTTTCGTTGTATGAAACTTATGCATGTCAATGTTAATTTAGGTTCGAAAACAAGTCAATTCGATTTAATGAAAGATCATTATGATTATGAATGCTTAAGACCACAAACCGGTTATGGATGCTCAAAACCACGAACTGAGTTTGGATGTGCAAGAGTTATACAAAGACTTTGGAGAAATTTTAGAGAAAGGGAACCATCAAATGCACAACTTGCTTGGAACAGTTTACCAAATGATGGTACCCCAGATGATGAAAAACTTCTAGGTTTAACGAAACATAAAGTAAAAAATCCTCAGACTCGAGAACAATTTGATCAATGGCGTACTAAATAGATTGAATTATATAAAAACAATCCCATGATGCGCAGTTCCATTATTAATAGTCAATATAAAGAATATTATATCCTGGTTAATTGGATAGATTCTAAAAAGAGTCAATTGCAGGTTAGATTCCGAAAGCAACTTTTAGAAATAGAAGCATAGTATTTAATCAATTTCTTAATTATATTATTTATTCGATTTTTCAGTTTTTTTGGGTTCAGAATTCGTGGGCTCAGCTGGCAATGCATTTTTTATCTTGTGCTTTTGCTGTAACTCTATCTCTTTTTGCAAATCTAGTAGAGTATCAAACCTTAGCCGAATTGCAAGTAGATCATCCTCAGGCCTATCTAAATCAAATACAATAAATTCGCCTTTGCGTAAGTAGCTGTTAATAACCATTGATGCATTCTTAACATCATCAGTATATCGTCCAATTATTTTGGACACATCTTGATAAGAACTGCCCCCGTTAAATATTACTAGATGGGATAAATTCTCATGAATAATTACTGGGACATGATGATATTTTTGTGTTACATAGATTGGGCTTATATTTCGATGACGCCCATGTGTGAAGAATGGAATAATTCGGTTTTGGATAGACTCTGGAGCAACACATAAATCCTCAAAAACAATTACAGTACTTCTTTCAGGTGAAAATGACTTTACGCTAGGAATTTTTTCAGGTGAGATATATTTAAATCTAATATTTTCATAATATGGTGCTCTTGAATCACTTGCAATTACTCCATACATATATCTAACAAATACTCATTTAGGTTCATCTAGGTGATATCCACAAACTATCAAATCATCACATCGTATATAGCGAGATCCACCCTTTTTCTTTTTATATATACATTCACCTTTATCACCAACAAAAATATTTCCAAGTATATTAGTTTTACCTGTACCACTCTTACCACTAACTATCTTACTGAAGGGCTATGACATTGCTGAATGTCCAATATTTCGAATTGATTCATGTTTATTAGCTTCATCTATATCTATAAGATAAAGTTTCATAGGTAGTAGAGTGAAACTCATTTTCTTTGAAAATAAGCTCGATGAGCCATAATTCTTGGTTCACCCTTCGGGCTTGTTCTGCAATAGTTCTTTCTTTTGATTTTTTTGTATATCAGATGAGTTGGGAACTCAAAGCACTGCTTCCTAGGAATCTATATCTATAATTTCTATAAACTAGATAAAAAATTTCTTTCTCCCGATAATTCATTTCACTTTGTTCGTTCATAGTCAGTTTAGACATATTAGTGCCCTCACTCTGTGAGTATATTCCAGAAAACAAATTGTCAAAGGCGGTCATAAGGTGGCTATAATCTGGCTTCGAGTTCAAAGTACGAGAAGGTGGGAGTGGATGAAAAATATTCCTATATATATACCAAATAATTAATATCACTATTATTACAATAATGACAATTTTAAT